GCTGGGGGAGGGGGTGGAGGTTGGGGCTGTGAAGGGCTGGAGACCCCTGCCCAGCCCAGCCCAGCCCAGTCCAGCCTCTCATACTGCTCCCCCACACAGGGCTATTTCCGGATCTACCGCGGGGGCAACGTGTGCGGCATCGCCGAGATGCCCCTCACGGCCACCGTGGGGCAGGACGGGGATGGGGCTGGGGGCATGGCCCACCGAGGTGGATGCCCAGCCTGACCCTGACCATAATAAACTAGTAGGGCAGAGAACAGTGTGATAGAGTATGATGGGGCCATGGAGCTGGTGGATACGGGGCACGTGCGGCGTTCAAAGCAGGTGCCCAGGGGCAGGTAGGGTTAGGGGAGCGGGGTCTATAACCCGGGGCGAGGCCGATGCCCAGGGGGCGGAGTCAAGCCCTCAGGGAGGAGCTAGTCCAAGGCAGGTGTGGCCGGGGCGGGGCCAGGACAGGCTGGACCCAATGCCCTTGTCTGGTGCCCCCTGCATCCCGCTCCCCGCTTCAGCCCCGCGACCCCTAGGGACACCTCCAGGCCCATTTACCCCTCTCCGGTGCCGGCCTCGCGCTCCCGCAGTGTCTGGCCGACGTTGGGTTGGGTCTTCTTCGGCACTCGGGGGCGCACGGCCCGGGCCGGGGGTGGTGGGAGCTCCCCGCTCCGCCCAGTCCCGCGGCCTTCCCGCCCATGTGGCCATTAGCCAGCGCCCCACCTCCCCCGTCGGCCCTGGCCAGAGCCCCCCACGCCCCAGATGGCCCTAACCTCCACCCCAGGTCAGCCTGCAGTCTTCCCTCATGCCCCACAACCATGCCGTGTGCCGGCACCCTGCGCGGCCTCCCCCGCAAGCCCCACACCCTGCCCTGAACCGCCCCAGCACCCCCAGTCCAGCCTCAGTAATTCCAGAGTTATCTCCCAGTCCTGGAGCCCCCCCCGCCCAGCCCCCACCTTTGGTGGTCATGAGGAGGGTGCTGTCCTCAAGCCTGTAGCACGCGAAGATCCAGCCCATAACCACATCCCGGGGGCAGGAGGCAGAGAGCATGTCGCAGCCTGCTCTAACCACAGGGTCACGCTGCTCTTGCCGAGCTCCCAGCTCCACCCGCCCCGCTCTAACCACTGGACCACACTGCCTTGGCTCAGCAACACAACCCATATTCGGGCTCCCGCCCCCCTCTGCTCTAACCACTGAACACACTGCCCTTGCAAAACGAGAGAGCCCAAGTGTCCCGTCTTCCAGCTGCATCTGCTTTGACCACTGCTCCCCCCTTGCAGAGGCAGACCCAACCCTCCTGCTCTAACCGCTGCACCACACTCCCCCCTGGGCGTGGGAAGAGCCCCGGCACCCATCCCTCTGCTTCTCTAACCACTGCTCCTCCCCCTTAGAGAAGCAGAGGACCCAAGCATCCAGGCCCCCTTTCTACCCACTGCACCACACTCCCCTCCCATGACTGATACGAACTGTCAGTAACAATACCCCAAAACACCGTACGTACAAAATGGTGACTGCCTTTAAAAACATGTCCGTAAGAGGGGCCGACTCTCAGTAAAAAACCCAACTAAAAGAGACTGCCAGTGGGTAGAGATACGATCAGGAAATACACTGTCCGTAAAAGATATTCACACTCAGTAAAAAATAATGTCCATCGAGGATACTCACAGACACTAAAAAAAGATTGCCTGTAAAAGATACTCGCCGTCAGTAAAAAGCGTTACTGTACAGTAAAAGTTAGAGAGGGTCTGTAAAAAAAAATTTTAAAAGTCTAACGATTAATAATTGATGCCCTCTGCAAAGGATGCTGGTGGTTAATTAAAAAAAGCCAAACAAAACCGCAAGCCCCAAAATGACTGTCAGTGAAGTCCGTACCCCCGCCCCCCGCAGTCAGTAAAACCCGGAGCTGCAGACGGAGCAGCAGCGCCCCCTGCCGGCTGAGCGGGAGGCGGCGCCACGCGCGGAGCGTTTTCTCAGCCATGTGCTGCTGCCGCAGGTGGGCTTCCTCTGGGGTCCGACTGGGATGAGGGGGTGGGGGCAGTAGGGGTGGGTAGGGGGCTGCACGGTGCAGTTGGGGACGTCAGGGTGTGGGGGGAGTAGGAGGCGGGGGGGAGTGAGGAGGGAAGAAGAGTGTCAACACAAGCCACCAAACCAAGACAATTTCTCTCTCTCCTATCCTTGGTGTTCAACCCCTACATTTGCCCCCGGCCCCGATGGGAAACTGTATGTCAGTAAAAACACGTGTCGGTAAAAAAATTAAAAGGTTTGCAGACTGTCTTCTCTTGGTTGGGGAGCCCTGGTGTAACAGGCTGCAGCTGGGTCTGGGGGATGCCAGGGAGGCCTGGGGACTGCGTCTGCTGCAGGGGGTGGGGAGCTAATGAGGGCTCAAGGGGTGTGTGTGTGTGGGGGGGTGCACGCACATGCATTGGTACACAGCACACAGCTATGCGCAGTCACACAACACTACATGCCTCATCAGATCTGCATTGCCCCCCCTGCCCACAGATACAGCCGATCAGGAAACAGCACAAGTCAGCACAATCACGCAGCCCTACAGAACACGCAGCTACACAACTCACCACAACCATGTGGCCACAGGCTGGCCCACAACACCACACAGGCTGGCACAATGCACAGCTACACAACACTACACAACTCTCCATAACCACATTGCCTAGCACACGCAGCTCTGCTCCCCACAACATGGGCCTCCACTGCACAGGCCCAAAGCTACTCACAGCTACGAACTACACAGAGCTGCGCAACTGAGCAGAACCCCATGTCCAAGCTACACGCAATGACAGACGACTGCCCAACCACACGGGCCTGCTACACAACACGCAGTCTTGCACACACGGGTGGCTGGTGACACACAACCAGACCACACTAGACAACTCACCACAACCGTGCGGCTCGGCTACACAACTTATATCTACACAACTCATCACAACCAGCCAGGCCTGCCCAGCCCAGGGGCTGGATTGGGGAAGGCAGACCCGCGCGGCCGCACCACAGGAGAGGGCCCGGCCTCCTCAGCCCCGCTACACAACCGCGCACCCTGCGAGCTGGGGGGAGGGACACAGCCCGCCTGGCCACACAGCTCCACAACCCAGACCGGCCTGGCACCTGCAGGTGCTGAGAGACAGCAGGGTAACAGCCCGGTACACAACCCACAACTACACACTGCCCCATCAGGGCCCCGCACTCCCGACCCGCAGCCGCGCAGGCACACACGGGGCGGACACCGGCCGCAGCGCGGGCCCAGGCGGCAGCGGAGCCGGGATC